AAGAGACAAAAAGAGATCAAGAACTAGAGAGAGCACTTGGTCTAGCAGCCAAACTCTATCTCTGGGTAGTGAAAGCACAGGCAGATGGCAATCTTATAGTAGTCATCAGGGTAAAGGAAGGTCACGGAGCGGAAGTGGAGATCGTTATCATTTAGGAAATGATTATGGAAGCAGGTACACGTGGGACAGGGATGACTACGAATCATCTTACAGGAGAAGGGCTCTGTCTAGACCTCATTCTTCCAGCCACTCTTCAATTCCAGAATCTGGAATTCAGTCCTTTCCTGAAAGAAAAATTTCCAGGGAGAAAACTAATCCCAGCCAAAGACAATATTACTATGATGAAAGGCACAGATCAGGGAGCCTGTCTAGTAACAGGTCAATGACCTCATCTACAAGGCCCTGGCAGGTGAGCAATGAAACACCTGGAGGGAAACGAAAGTACAAAGCACGGCATTTGGAAGGTACTGACGAAGTGGCTCCCGCATCTCATGAATATTCTTCTGCTGTAAAGAACAGTCGTTACCAAAAATCTCACTCAGAATTGGATGAGAACTACAAACACGAGAGTGACAGCTTTTCGGACAACCTATCATCGGACGCAGAGACAGAACACAAGGGGAGAAAAAGGGCCCGGAGCCCCAGTGTAGAGATCGTTTATGAAGGGAAAGCTACTGATACAACCGTACATCACAAAAAGAGAAAGAAGAAACACCATGGAGACAGTACTTCGCAGTCCCCTGTTGTCATTATCATCGACAGTGATAGTGACGAGGTTTCTGAAGTAAAAGAAGATGCAGGATATCACAATAATGGGCCTCAAGACCCTCTAGGACATGAGTTCTAGGCTCCTTCCTTGGAACCATTGGAAACTGAAGATGCAGTTACAAGAGAAGGTGAATTTGGTGTCCTGGACAAAGAGTGTGATATTACTGCACTTACTAACATCTTTGAATAATGCCAGCAAAACTGTACCTAATAGTCCACCCCCAGCACCTTCAGTGGAACTGACTCTTGATGTAAGAAAGACAGCACACGTGCCTCTGATTGGAGACCAGCCCGGTAACGTTGCATCTATCTGAACTCACTCATCAAGGCAACTGCCATCTCCACGGACATCGTCAATGTCAGTGTCTCTTAGCAGAGACCAATATGTCTTAAAACTGCCAAAGCAACTCATTGAGAATTCTGGCGGTATAAAAAGGAAAAAAGGAACAATGTCATCTACTACAGTCTATTTAAAGATGACTTTTGATGAAAACTCTTTTCCCGCTTAGAATATTTTAAGTGATTTTTTTGTGTGTGTTAATTTGTTAAATTCATTATTTGTTCAAAAAGTATTTATGTCCCACCCTCAGAGATACGCACTTTTAAATGAAGAAAATAATATTGCTAGCAGTTTATTCAAAACTTAGCATCCTTTTTAAATAAAAATAAATAAATGTTAGAAGTTATTTCATATTGAATTTTGTTCTTTGAGAGTTGTTATGGAAATGTATTATAAGCTAGGAGAATCCCTTTGGACAGTCTTTATTTTATTTTTTACTTGAAAATGTGTATGATTCAACACCATTTCTTCAGGTTAAACAGAGGCATTTTAGTCTGCACAGTTTGTCTTGACTTCTGTCAAAGGATAATTTACTATTTCCTTTATATACTTGTTAATCCGGACTGCTGTTAAAACAAACGTGTATTCAACAAAAGAAAAACTAAAACAGCAACACTTTAAAACAAGAATCAGAAAAAAATATACAAAAAAGAATTGTCAAGGGAAACTATTTTCTATCTCAGGAATACATTAGAACATGCTAAGGCTTTCCACCAGGAAAATTAAGAGAAAGGTCAAACCGAACTTAACGGGGAACAGAATTATGGGATCATCGTGGCTGCTCTGCCCTGCTGCTTTCAGTGTAGTCAGCCCGCTCGTGGAACACTGACAGTTCCCCTAGGACTAGCTCCTACAGTCAGCCACCACCCTCTGTCCTAAAATGCATGACTCTTTTTCTTCACCTCCATCTCCTTCTCCACACCATGCCCCTCACTTACTTTTGTGACTTGTGTAATTCCTCTTCTCCAACACTTCTAATGATTTTCAGTATGTCATGTTGCCTTGTATTCCGCAAACTCACAGCTCTGGGTATAAGAAAGTTCTTCCTACCCTTAGCTCTGCCAGATGCCAGTCTAAACCCGGTCCTACTTGCCATCAGAAGTCCCCTCTGAGTTCCTAGAACTGAATGCCAGCAAGACAGTGATGACAATTTGAGTAGTGCTCTTCCCCAGAACACAATACCATCTTATTTTATATGCATAACAATAATAATAACAGCAGCTGATACTTCTTTAGCACTTACTATGTTTCAGGAACTGCTTTTAGTGTTTTACATATATAAATTCATTTAATGCCTATAAGCACTATATGAGGATGGAAAATTGAGGTCCAGAGGGGTTTAGTAACTCACCTAAGGTCACGTACATAGTAAGTGATGGTTCTGGAATTAGCACCTGGACAGTCTGATCCAGCATTTGCGCTCTTAACCACTCTGCTTTGCCATACACAGCCTCATAGAAACAAGGGAGGTGTATAGGGAAATACACCACTTCATCACGAAAGTCTTTGGTCTTACATACCAGGAAACATGGATAATAGGACTCAATTAATTCAGGATTGAAACTGACTAGAATTGGTGCGTAAAACGGAACAATCACACTTCACAGTTGGGAAACTGAAAAACAGAATCCAGACGTTTACGAAGCTGATGAATAATCATAACACCAACATCAGTAACACTTAGGCAATTTAAGACAAATTCGAATGGCAGGAAAGTTCTTCGTTGTGGTGCACAGGGGCATGCAGTAGCATGTGGTTCCAAGCATGACAGACGTCTGTGGGTGTAACTGTTCAATCATTCGAACCAAACTGAGACAAAGACAATGAGTAAATCCAAATTTTACAGAGAGGTGTTGGCACCAGCCGTGATGGAGTTCAAAAGCAACGCATCAATGGGCCTCGCTGTTTCCCTAGATCGTGTGCCTGTGCTGGTGTCTAGTGTTTGCTGGGCAGCAAATTCTGGCTCAGTGGTTCTTGAAGATTCTCATCAATCAAAAATATTATAAAAACCCAGGTAATACTACAGAAGAAAAAAGACCAGCCCTAGGTAAAGCAATACTCTCCAAATGGGATTATATTACAAACTATTAATACTATAAATTGAACCATCACCATACCAGTGCTTTACTTCAATGTAGTTCATCCCACAAGAAACATACAAGGGAGATTTGCTCATCCCTGTTACATGTGAGGAAATGCAGGCTCCTAAGGGACTAACTCAGCCAAGACTTCACAGCTAGTAGTATTAAAGTTGGATTCAAATCCAGTTTTTTAGGACCCCAAAGCTTACACTCTTAACCACAAAGCAATTGAGAAATAAATAACATTTGATATCAAGTATAGCTCTTTTGCCTTAAATGCATAGAATGCTGAAGGAAGGAGGTCTAGAACTTCTCTTTGAAAACATCCATACCATTGTCTCCATCCACCACCACCTGGCAGTAATTGAGGACAACGTCTAAAAGTAATTGTCTCTTTTTCTCTCCACTGCATTCCCTTTACTCTCCCGTCTATAACATAAACCAGGTAGAATAGACAGAGCCTAAGAGGGATTTGTAAAATTAACATACTTACTGAAATGTCATTGACTTAAGCTACTGTGTTCTGCTTTTATGACAATCCAGGCTAAGACAAATGCAGACTCTGTGTTCTTTCATGCCATTAACACGTTTCCTAATAGGCTAGAGAAGAGGCATATTGATGGGTTTAGCTTTTAGGGGGCAAAAAGGGGAGTCTTTGACCTTTAGGCAGTCTGTGACTTTACATTGCCTCCCACCCAAGTGCACCCCGAATAACACTTTCCCAGGCTAGGTACCGTGAGAAGAAACTAAACTTTGACAGGTGACATTTAGAAGTGTCCTGAAAGCTATGTGGAGAGAAAATGGCTTCTCAGACGTCTCCTGTGTCACTGTGGTCTGTATGTCACCCTGAGAAGACGTTTGAGAGCCCAAGGCCGTGACAAGCTTATTGTGTAGCTTGGAACAATGCCGAGATTGTGTGGCTATCACCCCCTTAAGATTCATGTCGCAGGCAGGATGTAAATATGTCCCAAGCAGGCTTTGACAGCTGTTTCTGGGCTTTCTAAATCAGAGATAGAAACAGATCTGATCTGCAAAGCCTCCTTTTCGTGCTACGTTTCCAAGTGAGTGGGTTGCCTTTCATCTTACACAGCCAACCCCAGCAAGTGACGCAGCCTCGTACCGCCCACAGGCCTGCCCAGCCCGCCTTGCTAGCCGCTGCCATCTTCCCGTAACCATTTTCCAAGATACTGAGAATCAAGTCCACATCCTGAAGACCTGCTGGGTCCTGGGGTGCTTAGCAGAATCACTAACGAAGGACAAGTATCAGTTACAGATTAACAGAAGAAGGAACTCAGGCTCCTTGAAATTAAACCACACTGTTTTAACAAATTCAAAAAATATCCCAGTTATTGTATAGGCCATCCATTTTATTCAACAGATATTTTCTGGGGTGGGTTCTCCATGAGCTGGGCCCAATAGTGGATGCCTGGGGGTGCCATGTCAAGCAATCACAGTCCTATTCCTTCGAGAGCTTGCAGTGAGGGTAACAATCTTACATAGACACAACCTCAATGGAGTGTTATGAAAGATAAGCAAAGACTACTACAGCCAGCCAAGAAATAACAAGTGAGGCACATGTATAAAAATATTCTCTTATTCCCTTCTGTAGTGGCTAAAACAGATGAGATATATAAACACCGAATGGGTTTATCAAAAGCAAGAGCCAGTGAGTCTTCCCCTTTCTTCCCATACCCACATGATCTATAACACACGAGTCCATCTCCCAGACAACAGGTTGTACCAAGGATGGACACCTGATAGACAATTTTGTGACCTATATTAGGCTAGAAAAAAGAATCGTGTATTAGAAGGCCTGTAACACCCCCTGCCAAAATATATGAACCAATACTATTCTCTCTCCCTCTTAGGAAATTTAACTGAGAAACAGGAAGAATTTGTCAGTTGGTATTGGGGGGCAGGAATAGATCGCACCGCCAGGAGTGTGGCCATGAGCCGATAATAGTGAGTACATGACAGAGTCTCACATGGTTTTTCTAAAATCCCAAAGGTGTTCTCGAATCCAGGGTCTCACCCAAAGCTTGCGTTTCCGTGACACCTGGCTGCACATCCTCTCCTGTCTGTGGGTCCTCGTGAAGTCCTGGCCCCCTTACCGACACTCTCCACAGCTCTCCTGACCTGGGCTAGCCTCAGTTTGTTCTGTTCCTTATAGCAAAGGGGCTCAACACAGGGGCCTGAGTGAAACAAACATGTTCAAATGTCAAATTTAGTCAGATTTTCTTTTTTTTCTTTTGATTTTTTTTTTTTTGAGACAAAGTCTTACTTTGTTGCCCAGGGTAGAGTGAGTGCCATGGCGTCAGCCTCGCTCACAGCAACCTCAAACTCCTGGGCTTAAGTGATCCTCCTGCCTCAGCCTCCTGAGTAGCTGGGACTACAGGCATGCCACCATGCCCGGCTAATTTTTCTATATATATTAGTTGGCCAATTAATTTCTTTATTTATAGTAGAGACGAGGTCTCGCTCTTGATCTGGCTGGTTTTGAACTCCTGACCTTGAGCAATCCGCCCGCCTCGGCCTCCCAAGAGCTAGGATTACAGGCGTGAGCCACAGCGCCCGGCCCAGATTTTCTTTTTAATGTATTAATTTTTGTGTGAAACCACACAAATACAAACAAAAAAGTCAGTAATCTCCAAATGAAATTTTCCCCAATTCCACCGGGCTTCTTTCAAGAAGCCAATAGAGAGTGATCTCTACACCTTTCTTTAAACTTAAAAAAATTATACATATTAAATACATAATTATATCCTCATACGTGAGGTCTTATTTTGGTTTGTGGACATTAAATTTATAATAAATTTATTCTAAGCTCTTTCTGATACTATTTACGGATGGTTTAATGCTGTTAGAGCAAAAAAAAAAAAAAAGCTAGAATCTATTTCCAATTTTGTCACCGTTTTTCCATAAGATTGTATAGAAATCAACTCAGCTCTCCCTGAATTAGAGCTCCCACCTCTTCATTAAAGACAAAAGGCAATAATGTATCCTTGTGCTTGGTGCTGTCCTAAGTAAATTTTTAAAATTCCATGCTTTTCCTATAGATGCCCACACAGTAATAAAATAAAATAAAATAAAATAAAATAACCTAGGAGTGATAACAATGTGCTCAGAGGAACATGGTTAGAAAATAACCCCTGCAGCCCCACCCCACCCTCACACACCTGACACAACGAGACAGAGACAAATACACACCCAAGATGAGGGCCAAC